AAACGGAAGCCTTGATGAAGGAACAATATGCATTTCTTTTTGAATGAGCATTTGTGAATTTCGGGGACGAAATTCCCGTTAAGGGGGGGTGAACTTGTGACACCGCACCCGAATGTACTGGAATTTGGAACTTGATATGTATTTGATTTTCCTAGCAAATAAAATTGTGTAACGGAATTGGTATATTTAATTAATGTGTGATTAATTAAATTATTTATCAGGTTCCTAATAATGGGAATGGACTCCCAAATATTTAGTTGGGTCATCGTAATAATTTTAGAAGCCCAATAAAGTGCCAACTAAAGTAGATAAAAACGTTTGGACAACCCAAGTGCTATTTTGGCCCAACCTGCCAAAAATAGCAGGAATAATTGGGAGGGACTTCCTACACCCACTTGGGGTATTTTGCATACCATTTGACCTCAAACAATAGGTAGGGGGACATGATGGGAGGGTGGTGTGCGGATGATTGAAGGAGGGGATGAATAGAGACAACTCATACACCCCATGTCCCTTCCAAGAATTATTTTTGGCTTGGTTGAGGATAGATACCTCCCCCCTTCCCATTCCACTCATATGAACCAAGAGAAAGAAGAGAGAGGCCTGGAAGAAGCTCTCACAAAGTCCAAACGTGGAAGAAACATATAGCAAGGAAATCCCAAGAGAAAACTAGCTAGAAGGAGAGGTAAGAACACAACTCTTATTTTAACTAGTTTTATGGTGTATGATTTTTAAGAAATCATATGGTGGATTAAAGGTGGAGTTCTACACGTTTAAAGCTATATAATATTGTTATAAGGTGGTGGTATTTAACTTAGAAGAGTCGTGGAATCGATAGGAGTTGAAACCGCCGGAAACCGCCAAGTATAGGAGGCTGTTCGTAGTTGTAGACCACGAAAGCCGCCCAGCTTTCGTGAAAGCCGCCCGGCTTTTGGCTGCTGCCCAAAATTTCATTTTCGATCGATTTAGAACGGGGATTGATCGGAGGGCTTAACAAAGGCAACTATTTCAGCACTTCATAAGGTGAGAATGGCTGACTATATTGCTTATAATCCTTGGGTTAATTTCATAAGATTACCTAAGTTAATTAAATGTGATTTTCATGGATTATTAACGATTAATAATGCCTAAATGGAAATATTGTTGTTTATGAATAGAAGATGCATAATATACAAATTTATGAGTAAATGGTGTATAGTTATGCATTATGAGTATGATGATATGATGATAGTTTAAACCATGAATTTTTGTGATGAAATATACTTTTACTTCATGTATAGGAATCATGAATGGATAAAAGTGATATTTTTGATATTGAGATTTAATCATATACGGATTGGGAAATTCATAGGAATGAACCTTATAACTATGAATTAAAGAGCTTGGTGGCTTAAAGATAAATGGATTAGTATTGAATTTACTAGTCGGAAATGTTAGTATGAAAAGTGATAAAACAAATCCTAAGCGCTTGGATTGTGAAAGGGGTACCTTAAGTAGTCTTATGAGATGTCTTAAGGTAGAATTGGGTAAACGCTAAGTTACCGTAGGAGTAGGCCTCAAAGGCTACTCATAGTAGAAAAGCTCTAGGCATAGAATATGCTTAGTGAACTAGTATCGTTACTAGAGGAAGCCTCTAGCACGATGAAGAATGACTGGAGGAAGCCTCCAGTATTCGTGTAGGACGAACTAGTATCGTGACTATAGGAAGCCTCTAGCACGATGAAGAATGACTGGAGGAAGCCTCCAGCATTCGTGTAGGACGACTAGAGGAAGCCTCTAGCGTAATGTAGGATGACTAGAGAAAGCCTCTAGCATAACGTAATGTGACTGGAGGAAGCCTCCAGCACAACGTATGTAAGGTGATTAGAGGAAGCCTCTAACACCTAGTGGAGTGACTAGAGTAAGCCTCTAGCACGACAAAACATGACTAGAGGAAGCCTCTAGCATGGCGAACTAATATAGATGGGCGTGGCTTGAAGTCACGGGGAAAGGGTTGAATGTTTTCAAAGTAAACATGGGCCTTCGGGCCGACTACTTGACTTTATATATAAAGTAAGTATATTTTCAAAGAGGGTAACCAAGGGTTATGACCTATAATATAATATCACTCTATTTGAGGGTCTTGGAAATTGAAACATTGATTATACTTAGTATAGTTGTCATTGTACTTGTCAAATGCTTCCAAGTACTGACCTCCCCTTCACGGGGGAGGCCACCTCACAGTTTCAGGTAGGGGATAAAGCTCGCTATCATCGCCCGTTGCTTTGGGAAGCTCGAGGAGAGAAGACGTGGTTCGTGCTTCCTCCGTTTCTATTTTAAAAATATTTAAATAAATGCTCATGGATATTATTTTCTGAATAATTATTTGGGGGCTTGTTTGCCCGTGTTTGCCACGTGTGGCTTGAATACTTGTATTAATGTTTCCGCTGCTTAATTAAATATTTTACATTATTATTGTTTATGGATGTACTATTGTGAATGATATTCATGACGCCTAGTATAGTATGGATGAGTTGGACTGCGATTGACTATTCGTACTGTACGGCGGGTTGTTGACGTGTCCGGTAGGTCCGGGGCGTGACATTAACTCTTATTCATCATGTTCTCTACCAAACGTCCTTTGTCACCACCTAATGCAAATGACATCGAATCCAGATTTGTTCCAGCCACATGAGACTAAATATCCATCTTCCGTCCCTGCACAACCTTCTATGCGTTTAATCACGCCAAGCAAAAGAAGAAAAAAAGGCGCACAATTGATGGCGCAAGAAGAAATCTTGTACACCAAAGCCCGCCTACGGCGGTCACTCCTCGTTACAAATGATAGTGGAGAAAAACTCTAGCGGTGGAAACCCACCCTAGAGAGAGAAAGAGTTGAGAGAACTTATTCTTCGAAACTTATAGTGCTTTGTGTATTTTAAATAATGTACTTTGTATTTAACATCATAAAATTACATTTGTGAAAACATTATATGATCATGGTGCCAACATAACATTTTATATAAAGATGAGGGTGCATATATTGCATGTGCAAGTTTGAGATACTTATCTCACACCCCTTCAAAGTTTGAGATATTTCAGTTATTTCTCTGGATTAATAGAGTGTACGTTAAAAATGATCCTAGACTACACAAATTAATAAAACCATTTTTTTGTATATGCAACATTGATGACATATGAAAGATAATAAAAAGTTATGAACTTTTATACTATCGTATATTTTTATAACAATCGGATTACAAAAACTATTATAGCACTTAAAAAAACAGGTGCGTTTGAGAGTGTTAATATATATTTTTTATCTTTATATATTCAATGATGGTGTCTTATGAAAGATAATAAAAAGTGATGATTTTTTATATATTTTTTGTAACAATCAGAGTACTAATAAAAAAATTATATCCATTTAAAAATAAATATTTTTTAAAGTATAAATTGCTTTCATTAGTAGTACTTGTTTTATTTTTACTTTCAGTAGGTTTGGTTTCAAAATTTGGAATTCTGGCATAAGTTTAATAATCAATATTTCAGTCCCGGTTGTATTAGTCTTTAAATTGTTCGTTTCGTGTCTAATGAATCAAGTTGCTTTGTATAAAATGCTCGTTCTATGTCTATTCTCAGGGCTCACAATTGGATCTTTCATAACTGTCTGAATATTATCTTGTACTCAATTTTAATATAAAAACTGATCCTTTATATTAAAAAAAGTGTACATTATTTTTTATTTTTGTATATTCAATATTGGTGTCATTAGAAAGATACTCGTAATAAAAAGTTATGAATTTTGATATAATTTTTGTAACAATAGGATTATAAATAAAAAATTATGATATCTTAAAATAAACATTGAGATTTTATTTTGGTGGGATCCTAACTAATGTAGTAGGAGTTTGAATAGTATTCAACCATCAAAATACTGATTACCGAGTATTAGTGATTTAATGGATTACTTGTGCATAGATTCCTTTAATTTGGAAAGTGATGTTTAAACAATAATAATTGTCCGTTAAAAAAAAACAATAATTGTGAAGTTGACATGTGGCAATGTTTTCCCATTAGTAATTATGAATTTTGATATATTTTTTATAACAATAGGAGTAAAAATAAAAAGGTTATAACACTTTAAAAAACTATGATATTTTATTTTGGTGTGACCAATGTTCTAAAAGGCACTAGGCGCTAGTCGGGCGCCAGTCCAGCGCCTAGCGGCTAGGCGGACGCTTAGTCGGGGACTAGTCGGACACAAAGAAATTGCATTTTTACTTATTTTTGCACAAATATGATAAGTAATATTGTATTTTTGTGTGTATAAAATACATATTGAAAGATAGAATTATCACAATCAATCATACGTAGTATATGATAACTAATCACTTAACTTCATTATGTTATAAATATAAATAATGATAAAATTTAGGTATATATACAAACATGTATAGTTTTATCTTAATTTACAACTTCATTTCTTCATATCCATGACTAAAGTTAAAGTATGTATATCACTAAGAAAATTAAAATTAAAAAGTAAAGTAATGTTCGGCGAATCTAGACGACCTAGGCGGCCGATTAGGCGCTCTAGGCGGGCAACTAGGCGCCATAGGTTGCCGACTAATTCACCTAGACAGCAAACCAATTAGTCGGAGCGCCTAGACGAAAATCGGGACGCCCGGCCACCGCCTAGCGCCTAGGCGGGGACTAGTCGGGCGCCTAGAACGATTTTTAGAAGAGAGGGTGTGACTCCTAAATACTAGTAATAGGAATTGTAATTTAGTTGGAGTAGTATTTTTATACGGAGTATGAAATACCGTGTGTGCTTAGCTAGAGGTTCCTTTAATTTAAGAAGTGATGTTAAAATATTAATTAATTGTGGAGGTGACATGTGGGAATACTTTTGTTGGTCCGGGTTATTGAGGTAACAGTCTAGAAGGGGAGGTGAATAAACTGTTATGGTTTTTAACTCTTTCAAGCTAAGTACCAGTGTTAATAGAATAGCCTGTTCTGTTGAGAACAGACTGGCATCGGAGATCTTCTGGTAGGGGTTCTGTCGGGATGGACGGTCGAATACGAGACGAACGGTGAGAGTCAGCTGAAGCGAAGATGGTGAGTAAAACGGAAGAGGACAGAGTGAACAGTTTGGAGGTTCAAGTGGACAATGGAGGTGGCGGCGCGTGGGAATATCTATCTCTTGTCCGGAAGCTCAAGCTCCGCCGATCCGACAAGGTCTTGAAGCACGGTCTCGCCCTCCTTAATGATGACAAAGCTCGATCTGCTCTTGGCACTGAAGAATGGACATTATATGAGCAGGTGGCTATTGCTGCTATGGACTCCCATTGTCTTGATGTGGCAAAGGAGAACATTAAAGTTTTGAAGAAAAAGTTTCCAGGAAGCAAACGAGTTGGCAGGTTAGAAGCAATGTTGCTTGAGGCCAGGGAATTATGGGAGGAGGCCGAAAAGGCTTACTCAAGCCTACTGGAGGAAAATCCATTTGATCAGGTCATACAAAAGAGGAGGGTAGCCATGGCAAAGGCAGAAGGCAATATGTCAGGAGCAATTGAATTGCTAAATAAGTATCTCGAAATATTCATGGCAGATCACGATGCTTGGAGGGAACTTGCGGAAATGTATGTCTCCCTACAAATGTATAAGCAGGCGGCTTTCTGCTATGAGGAGCTCCTCTTATCTCAACCAACAGTTCCTCTTTATCACTTGGCTTATGCTGATGTGCTCTATACATTAGGTGGACTTGACAATATATCCAGACGGCCAAGAAATATTACGCAACTACCATAGACTTAACAGGTGGAAAGAATACCAGAGCCCTTTTTGGTATATGCTTGTGTACATCTGCCATAGGGCATCTGACTAAAGGACGGAGGCAGGAGGACAAAGACAAATCAGAGCTGCAATCTTTGTCCTTTAGGGCCCTGGAGAAAGATTACAATGAGAAAGCTTCTGATAAACTTTCTCTTCTTGCTTCAACTTTGAGAAGTTTGAAGATTTGATCATTTTTTTTGCATTTTTTAAAGCTTGTGTCTTTCAGATGGTTTATGCCCCTCATCAGTTGCTTTAATTATTGAAAGCTGACCATGTGTGCTGTCAGGTTTAATCACTTAGATGTTTCTCTTTTGTTGTCAACGTGGGATTTAACAGAAGATGTTTCATAAAGCTGTACTAGAAGGGAAAACAAGGAAAATAGTTTATCAGAGAATTTGGCTGTTTCACTTCAAAAAAAAAAAGGGGGTTCTGTCGGGATAGCCTCACAGAGGAGCAAAGGCACTAGGCCTTCTGTTATCTCACAAGAGGTGTTCTACTTAGCACAGATACCACTTCTGTGGAGTTAATCAGTTTAAAAAAAAAACCAATAAGTAAATGACACCAGAGATTTTTATAGTGGTTCAAGGAACAACTCATTCCTCTAATCCACTGTTCCACTTAACTTGTAATAAACCAATTACAAAACTTAAGTCCTAGCACTTAAGAAGCTCTCCACGTCTTCTTCAAGTGTAGATGTCTCCTGGGACACACTTCCTTGCTTCCTTTAAGACTGGTCTAGTTTCATTGAGTCTCCTTGAAGTATCACCACTTCACTACTCCAGCTACTTTAAGACGTCCTTCTTTGAAGAAGATGTTCTGTAGAAAAATAGAGTTTTTCTCCAACTTGCTTCGTCACTAAAGGTTTGTAAATGAAGTGCTTGAAGTTGTTGAAGAACTTTAGGAACTTTGCTCTTGTTGGAGTATGAAGATTATGAGAAAATATTATTCTTCCAACGTAAGCTATTCTTGTTTTTGAGAGTGGATGTTGAATCTCAAGAAAGCTTGTGAGTGTTGTAGAGAGAGCAAAAGTTATTCGGTTGTTCTTCATCATGTATCTTTTATACTAGGGTTGTCTTCCCGTTGGAGGAGGAGACAACTGCATTAAATGTGCGTACTGTTTAGTTGACCAGTTGGGGCCCGCAAGTTTTGCGGCTTGCTATTTTGGGATAGGCTTTCCAGGAATCTCGGTCAATCATCAGCTTTAACTCTTTGGAGTGTAGATCTCATTAAATGAGCATTAATGCGATCCTGTAGCAATTCTGTTGAGTAGAGCTAGCCGTTGAGGGAATCTTCCGTTGAGTACTTCAGTTAAGCTTATGTGAGAATTTGACAAGTGTGAGGACTTCTGTTGCCGAGTCCAGAGAGGCAGATTACAGAGGGCCTTGAGCATTTCTGTCCAGTAGAGGTCCAACAGAGGGGCAAGAGCACTTCTGTCAGGCAAACAGCCAACAGAGGGCCTATAGGTCTTCTGTCAGTCGACTACTCTAGAATGCTTACATTTAGAAAAATTCTAATACACAAATTCTAATGGGGGTACTCTAAAGTTCTAATTAATGTAGCATCATCAAAATCTAAATACATTTATTCCTTACAACTTTCCATAATTGTAACCTTCAAATGTATTAGATATAGATATAGATACAGATACAGATACAGATACAGATACAGATACAGATACAGATACAGATACAGATACAGATACAGATACAGATACAGATACAGATACAGATACAGATACATACACATACACAGACACAGACACAGACACAGACACAGACACATACACAGACACAGACACAGACACAGACACAGACACAGACACAGACACAGACACAGGCACAGGCACAGACACAGGCACAGGCACAGGCACAGGCACAGGCACAGGCACAGGCACAGGCACAGGCACAGGCACAGACACAGACACAGACACAGACACAGACACAGACACAGACACAGACACAGACACAGACACAGACACAGACACAGACACAGACACAGACACAGACACAGACACAGACACAGACACAGACACAGACACAGACACAGACACAGACACAGACACAGACACAGACACAGACACAGACACAGACACAGACACAGACACAGACACAGACACAGACACAGACACAGACACAGACACAGACACAGACACAGACACAGACACAGACACAGACACAGATACAGATATAGATATAGATATAGATATAGATATAGATATAGATATAGATATAGATATAGATGCTAAATATTACTTACACGTTTGGGGCACAAGGATTATATTTCAAAATCAGTATTATTCGAGGGACTAAAAGTTCAGTTTTCCCTATATTGTAATTGAATGTGCAAGTACATTTGTCAATAATTCTAAATCTATAAAAATACTAACCATTTTTTCGTTTATTCGCATTTACATTTGTTCCTAAAATGAATTTGTGCAAAATGAATTATAACACAAAGTGTTATATGCATTTCTTAAAGAGGAAAATAATTAAAATATCCCAAACTTTGAAGGGGTGTGAGATAAACACTCCAAACTTTCATATGTAATTTAAATACTCCAAACTTTATATAACAAGTTATTTTAGCACCATAGTCATGTATTATTTTTAAATATGTAAATTTATGGTGTTGATTGAACATTTAAAATGATAAATTAAAAACAGTGCAATTATATAGAGTGGGGGCGTAATATTATTTATTTTACCATGGAAGTTTAGAATGTTAATTGTATCTTCATGAATGCTAAATTATTTTAAATTATGAAATTAATACCAAAAAGTGACATTTTTGAAAGAAATAAGGGGTTATGTAAAAAAATATTACTAAAAAAAGAGCTTTGGACAAAAAAGTGACCTTTTTTAAAAATTTCCAAAAATGAGACTAAAAATATGCTAAGAGACTAGTATACCCCTTATTTCACTCACTGATGCTACTGTAACGATACAGTGACCAAAACTTGATACTGATTCTAATTTCCCACCTAACATCAACTTGGCAAAGTTGAGTGAGACAGAGGTAATATAATTTTTACATCGCACCATTGTTGATACTCAGGCCAACATCCCCTCTTACGAACCCTCTCATTACTTATGTTGGCTAACATGGCTGCTGGACCTTAATTTAGTAATATACTAACTATTAGTTGAATTTTGGAAAGATTTCATGGATTTTTAGTGTCTCTAAACATTAATAAGAAAGTAAAGATATTAATGGTCAAACTTGTGTGTTACAAATGTGAAAAGTAGACTATTGCCAATTAAAAAAGAAGAGAGGAAGTATAAAGATGCTTGTTGAAAATGTTGTTCTAAGGTTGTAAATGACTTAGGCGGAATTGTCATTTCTCATTTTCATCATTTTCATTTATCCCAGTGCCGCAAAGGCTCCCACCTACGGTGAAGTAAGGGGGAGTCGGATTTATGAGATCTTATCCCTGTACTAAAGCACAGAGAGACTGTTTCCGAATGATCCATAGTAAAAATCGCGTCCAAAATTGCATGGACTAACTGCTGCTTCATAACAAAGAAGCGCAAACAGTTTAGTGAGCCATTTTGCTTTAATCCATCATATTCTCAAGCCAAAAAAAAATGAATCTTTGGTTCCATTGCAAATGATGGAAAAATGGAATTGTCATTTCTAATATTGAAAATTTGTTTGACATAATACACTATTTCATGTAAGGGATAATAATGATGGATATAAACTTTGTGCTTCATCCAAGGGCCATGAAGCACAAAATAAAAGTAAACACCACAAAGGCACCAATTATCTGACAAAACATGTGATTGATATTCTTGAGTTACATATACAAACAGAACTCATGACGGTGCACCTTATAAACTGATGCAAATGTCTAAAATTTAGGGAATAAACTCTTCACGCTGGAGATGAGACATTCGAAGTCCGTGAAGATAACTTCTGCTTTTGGAGATGCACGAGGAAAGGTGGTCATCTTCCTTTTGAATTTGGAAGCTAGAGAGGTGTCCATATCTACCGATTCTGTAATAGTAACTTCTTCAAGGGCAGGAGACCTTGAGAGGATAGTTTTAATAAAGACCACTTCCTCCTCTAATCCATTAAATGACTCCATCTTCACCGATTTTAGCTTGCAAAGATCCCGATCATCAAACCAACTGTTTGGATCTTTCAAAATACTCAGATCAGGGAAATCGTCTTCTTCTTCTTCTTTATATATGCCATGTGACTGTAACAGAACAATGTCAAAAAATATTAAAACATAAATATCCAGCTCTTAATAATCAAATGCACAGGCCAACTGTATGATATTACAACCTTTGGTTTGATCTTAATTCCTAGTTCAAGTAGGTTTGGACATTTTTTAAGCAACTGAATGACAACAACAATGTGCTTCTGGCAGACAAAAGCAAAATCATATAGCTTAATCACTTGCAGATTCATTGCAGTTGGGATCCGCTCTTGGATATTTCTTGCAGGTTTGACCTTCATACAGTAAAAACAAATGTTAACCTTGAACCAAACAACACAACAACAAAAAAATTCACAACATTATTCACAGATGAAAGGCAAGGTTCTCACCAAAACCGAGTCTACCGTCAAACAAAGAGTCGTAATCCCTAAAAAATGAAGTTCAAACCATTTCCAATCAATAGTAGACTTAGAATAAAGGATCATGAGCCTTTTAAGTTTCGGAGCACTGAACACAAAATTATCTATCCCATGACACAAACGTAGACTGAGCTCCTCAAGGTTAGGAATGTTAACACGGAGAATTTTACTAGCCTTGACTTTAAACTCACTAGAGGTGAAAGCTAAAGTGGTCACACCAGACAATATACCACCATGTGGAGCACAAACCGGGACACAAAAATCAAGACCCTCAACATACAGCGTCTTTATTGTAGGGCAGGAAATTATGCAAAAAGGTATTGTGAACTTCTCGCCAATGTCTGGATTAGGATGAATACCTAGGTAAAGTTGCTCAATACCATTTCTTGATAGAAATAGACACCAAACATCAAGATCAGACTGTTCAGGAGTATGGTACTCTTGGTAAAACCCCAGCATGAATTTCTTAACTGGCCCAGTACGGAGCAGGAGAACGTTAGTTATCGTTTTCACTATATACTTGACACCATCCTCATCTTCCTCTCCCCGTGGCCAACCAAAGACAAGCTTACTATGCCGCAACCAAACATCCATCCATTGCCTTGAGACAAGGGCAGTTTTGGCTGCGCTTGTAGTGTCTAAACGCTCCAATATTCTGTGCTTTAAATCTTCCGGTAGTTGACTTATGAGATCCGACCCAGGTTTGGTTCGAGGACGACGACGACCCATTAGTTTAAAACAGCTCGGAAGTATGTAAATAAATACTTCAACGGACTACCCGATCTACAATTCAGTCCCAATTTCCGGTCTTAGCAGCATAGCAGTCATTTCTGG